GTACATCTTCCAACACAGATTTGTTTGTTCTTTTGGCAGTCCATGGTACTTTTAATATTCTTCTCCAACATCATAAATCAAATGAATTAGATCTTCAAAGAGCTTCCTTATTCATTGTCTAACTTTCACAAGCATATGAGGCTATTGAAAATACCATGGCTTGGGTCAGGTGCAATTTAGTCCTCAAACTGACATCTTTGTTCTTGAACACTTTAAAGAGGTCTTGTTAAGCAAATCTGCCTAAAGCAATACTTCGTTTGATTTCTTGTCTACTGCTTCCTTGTGTATTGATAGTGAATCCAAGCAAAATGAAGTATTTGACAACTTCAATCTTTTCTCAATTTATCAAGGCATTATTTATTAGTCCAGTCGTGGGGATTTTTGTTTTGTTTCCACTGAGGTACAACCCATATTGAGGGCTGTGGTCTTTGAACTTCATCAGTAAGTATTCTAAATTCTCTTTGCTTTCAACCAGCAAGGTTGTATCATCTGCATATTGCAGGTTATTAATAGTCTTCCTCCAATCTTGATGCCACATACATCTTCATATAATTCAGATTCTCGGATTATTTGTTCAGCATACAGATTGAATACGTATGGTGAAAATATAACCCTGGCACACACCTTTCCTTATTTTAATCCATTCAATGTCCCCTTGTTCAGTTCAAATGACTGCCTCTTGGTTTATGTACCGGTTCCTCAGGAACACAATAAAGTGTTCTTGAATACTCATTCTTTGCAATGTTGTCCATAGCTTGTCATGATCCACCCAGTTGACAGAAAGCCTTTGCATAGTCAATAAAGCACAAGTAAACATCTTTCTGGTATTCTGTGCTTTTAGCCAAGATCTGACATCAGCAAGGATATCCTTTGTTTCACATCCTCTTCTGAATCCAGCTTGAACCTCTGGCAGTTCCCTGTCAATATAGTGTATCAGCCATTTTTATCTTCAGTAAAATTTTACTTGTGTGTGATATTAATGATATTGTTCAATAATTTTCACATTTTGTTGGGTCACTTCTCTTTGGAATAGGCCCAAATATGGATCTTTTCTATTCAGTTGGCCAAGTAGTTGTCTTCCAAAATTTTTGGCATAGCTGACTAACTGTCTCCAATGCTACATCAGTTTGCTGAAGTATTTCAGTTTGTAGTCCATCAATTCCTAGAGCTCTGTTCTTTGCCAGTGCCTTTCAGTGTACATTGGAGTTCTTCCTTCAGTACCATTGGCTTTTGAGCATATGTTATCTCTTGAAATGGTTAAACATCGACTATTTCATTTTGGTACAGTGACTCTGGTACTCTGGTACTAATTTTAGTATATACACAAAATGGAATAATATGCAAACTTAAAGAATTTGTCAAACAACTCATAACATGGATGAACCTGGAGGATGCTATGATAAATGAAAGTAGTCAATCACAAAAGGATGATTTTATTGTATAAGACCACTATTGTAAAACATCAAAAGATTTTCACACTAAAAGAAACATTCTTTGATGGCTATCAGAGGTAGGAGGGGAAAGGAGGATAAGTTTTTGGCTAGAAGACAGAAATGTATTAACTTGTGTGCCAAGGCAGGCAATATACACAATAAGATGAAGTCTTTATTTTTATTTTCTTATAAAAAAATTATGAAGGCAGGGGAATACACTGGGAGGAGTGCAAGCGTTAAAAGCAAACGAGGTAAATACTGCTATATACACAACCCTGCAATAATGGTAAACTACAAGTAGATTAATGGATAGGTACACAGGTTGAAAGTTGGAGTCTACCACAAATACATAAATATATATGGACAGCAAAGTTGGTTTGAACTACAAAGTCGGCTGTTCAAGCTCACCAGCTGCTCCTTGGAAAGGATCGCTGTGGGTTGGAATCGAGCCGACAGCACTTAACAACCACCACTACCAATTGCTCTGAAAAGAATCACATTAAAAGGTTCTGGATCAAGAGGGAGAAAAATGTGGGAAACTCAAAATTGTAACAATAACACTAGGGAGGGACATACACAATAGAATGATCAGCCATTTGAGATCAAAAGGGCAGCACTTAACCCAAGAATAAAGTTGAAACCAGTTAGAAAAGGAACAGGCATGGCAACACAGGGAAGAAAGTGGGAGAAGTAATGTTAAATCGTGAGGATTATAATTTAAAAAAGGAAACAAAATGACAAAACCTTCACAGAAAACAACACTTTCTTCTAATACACAGTAAAAAAAAAAAAGAAAGGAGAAAATTTGTATTTATTTTTTAAGTCACTTGTACCAGGAAAGGAAACTTTCCTTGAAAGTCCGGGGTTCTCATGGGACCCTAGGCATATAACTCTATCACCACACATGTGTTAATGTAAGCATTTTTTTTTTCTTTTTCTGTTTCTGTTGTTGTCTGCCCATCATTTCTGTTAGAATTTGTTGTTGTAAAGTGCTGAGTCGGTTTGACTCATAGCTACCCTGTATAAGGTTTCCAAAGATCTGGCAGCGTAGTGGTTACGAATCAGGTTGCTAACTTCAATGTCAGCAGTTTAAAACTACCAGCTGTTTGCAAGAGAAAGATGAGGCTTTCTGCTCCTGTAAAAATTCACAGCCTCAGGAAACCCTATGCAGGGTCGCTATGAGTTGTAACCGACTCCATGGCACATAACCAACAACCCACAGGGTTTCTGAGGAGCAGCTGGTGGATTTGAATCTAAAACCTTGTGGTTAGCAGACCATTGCTTATCCTACAGTGCCACACCAGAAGTCCTGAATTCCTTAAGTGCAGAAGCTATATCTAATTTATCTATATATCCTTAGTATTAGTAGATAGCCTGGCATACTGTAAATAATAAATGTTGGTGGAATAAATAAAAGGGAGCTTGTTTATTTTGCTAAGTCATAATGACCATTTAATTCACCTTATTTTGTGCCACTTCAAACATCCAAACATTTGTACCAGAAAAAAAAAATAGTTTAAAATTGCCAGATCACTGACCAAAATCATGTTAAACACACACACATATGCATTCTGGTTTTAAACAAGATAGATACAGTGTGAAGACAGATGTTTAAAGCATGATTGAGCTGCAAGTACCCCTTGTTTCCCCAAATTAAAGTTCTTCTGTCCACATCTCTATGACACTGAAGACAGTGTGGTCGACTTTCCTGGGAATCTGAGCCCAAAACCAGAGTAATGTACCTGGGAAGCGCGATGTTTTCCCAAGTAGGAATCATCGTTATCCAACATAGGGTGCTGAAAGGGGTCCCTGGTGGGAGGCATGCTTAAGTGCAGAGTGAGGCGCACTTAAGAGGAATGGCAGGCCAGCGCAGCCACGACACAACCTTGGCTCACAGGGGATTCCTGTCCCAGTTGTTTGGAACACCCAGTTTCGGTTGCCAGGCAACTGCACCGCCAGTTATGATTGAGATGAATGTGCCCTTCGAGGAGGGCGCCATCTGGCGGTTCAACACAGGAGGCCTCCGTATGGGAAGCGGGCGAGAATGCGCCTGGGAGTCCTAAATTTGCACTCAAGAAGTTTCTCTTAAAAAACACCGACATCCTATAGGACTGGACTTCTGCAAAGGTCTTCAGTTGATCAAAGAAGGCCTAGATGACCCTGAAATTTCTTTTTCCCTCGCACCTAACAAAAGTCTTTCCGATTTTTGAAACAATCGAAAAACTGGCAACAACCAGAGACGGAAAAGCCTGGGTGTTAGTATTTGGAAAATTGCCGGCTGAGGCATTCTGTCAGGGCTGAGTCCTGAATCGGTTGCACCTTCTAAAAGCACGGATGGAGCTGGCAGGATAGACGTTTGATCTCGGGAAACTACTGTAGCAACATCTACTGGGTAAATGATGACTTCGGGGGGTAGAGATGGCCTCTCAATATTCTTTCTTCTTTCTGTTGCTTCACCTACACTAGGTGCTTACTAAGTAATTGTCTAACACCACGTTTGCAAAATTGTTGTTAGGTATTATCCAATTGATTTGTGACAAGAATAAAACTGCCCCACATGGAGTCCTGGCGTGGCGCTGTGGGTTAAGGCGCTGGACTTCAAAGTCTGTTGGAACCACAATGTCGGCGGCGGTTCAAGCTCACCAGCTATTCCTCGGAAACCCTATAAAGGGTCTCTATGGGTAGAAACCGACTCGATGGCACTTAACAACAACATAGGGTTCTTCTAGAAAGGAGCTCTGGTAGCGTAGTGGTTACGAATGGGGCTACGCGAACCTCAGGGTCAGCAGTTGGAAACTACCAGCTGTTGCGCGGGAGAAAGATGAGGCGTTCTGCTCCGGTAAAGATTTACAGTCCCGAAAACCCTGTACAGGGTCGTTATGAATCGGAACCGACTCCACGGCACATAACCACCACCACCAATCGTTACAGAAGCAGATTGCCAGGTCTTTCAACCGCTGAGTTGCCAACTGTGGTTAGCAGCTTAACGCTTAACCTTTGCACCGCTAGGGCTCCTATTGCAAAATTATTGTCCCGACTCATAGCGACCTTGTAGAAGGTTTCCGAGGAGCAGCTGGTGGGTTTGAGCTGCTGACCTTGTGGTTCTCAGACCAGTGCTGATCCTAGCGCCACACCAGGATTGTTGTTGTTTAGTGCCATCGAGTCGGTTCCGACTCACAGCCACCCTGCATAGGGCTTCCGAGGAGCGGCTGGTGAGCTTGAACAGCAGATCTTACGGTTCCAAACCGACTTTGCAGTCCAGTTTATAAACCCGCAGCGCCACATCAGGACTCCACACCAGGATTGTTGGTGATGGTGGTGTTAAGTAAACTGCTTAATTTTGCTGCTGGAAAGAGCAGTAAAAGCCATGGATTGGGTGACGATGGTTTGGAGGGTGTTCCTCCCTTGTTTAACACAAGAGAGCTGCGCCTGCCTGCTGTGCCAGTTGCACCCCTGGCGCGCGCACTTCACTTGCGCGTGCCAGCCGTGGCGGCTACCATGGCGACCGGCAGGTGAGCCGCAGAGGCGCGCGTGGTCCCTGCCCCACCCGCGCGGAGGGAAAGAGGAGGCGGTTGCCTAGGCGACGTAGAGAGGAGGAGGAGAAGAGGAAGGAGGCGGAGAAAGGATGGGCGGCCTTGGGGAAACCGCAGGGAGGTGACTGGAGCGAGCCCAGCCCCTTGCATCCTTCCCCTATATACCTACCTCCCCTTTTTTTCCGCCTTCTGCCAACTGCTGTGGCAGCCGCAGCACCTGAGCCGCTGCTGCCGCTCGCTCAGGACAGATATGGTTGAGACAGGGCGCAGCCTCCACCCCTCTGTCAAAGGCAGAGGAAGAAGTGAACGGAGCGTACCCCAGCTTCTTCGGCTGCTGCTCTGGGCTGGGACCGCCTTCCAGGTGACCCAGGGAACCGGACAGGAGCTTCATGCCTGCAAAGAGGTATGTGCCCCAAGACCCGCCTCCGCTTGAGTCAGAAAAAAAGATGAATCTAGGCGGAGACCTTGGGGACCGAGGCACAGACAGTTTCAGAGGCCACGGGAGTTTGGGTTTCTTTGGGGGTGAAGCGTGGGGGCTGGGCCGAGGAGCAGGCTGGCGTCATGGAGAGGCCAGCCCACTAGAGGACTCAAGAAATAGATAATCCTCACAGCCTGGGCTGCTGAGCTCTGGGAAAAAGGTTCAGTTCCAAGGAGAAGAGGGACCCGGGCTTGGGAAAGAAGGAGGAAGAAAACATGAACTGTTTTCCAGCTGGGGTGAAACGAACCTAAAAGTGGTTGAAAACAAAAGACCAGGTACAGAAGAGCCAAAACAGAAACTGGGAGAGGCCAGAAATGGGATGAGAAAGGAGTTAGGAAGGCCTTAGAAAAGTAGTGGAGAGGTGAGAGACTGTAAGATCCCATCAACTCTCCCTTTTCTCTCCCTCCTTCGTGTTAAACATCCAGCTGCCTTGCAGGTTGCCAGATGTTTTGTGGTCTCCCTTGAACTTTACCTGGTGTACCCAACGACACATGACCCACCTTTGTCCAGACTTTCTTTTAACGTCTCATTTTTGCCGATCTCCTCTCTCCTTCTCCACACTTGTGCCTGCCATATGCCATAAGTCTTTATCAAAATGTTTCTGTTTCTAAAATGTTGGCAATATAATTCAGACCCTAGGAAATAAACCACTTCCAAACAAAAATACCTTTTGAAAACTCTTTTTGGAAGAACATACAAAGGTTTTATAAGTAACAAATCTCTGTAGTTTCTGTATTATTGAGATAACAAATGTTGGCTTTGCTCTGGGTAACCTTTTTAACCATATGGCAAATGCAGCAATAAGGTATTTACAAGAACTATATTGAGGAAGACAAAATAAAAGTTGTTTTTTTTTTTTTTTTTACCTCTGTGAACTTCATAATAAGGCAAGAGCCTGGAACTGTGGAAATAATCTTAAATGTCAAACTTGACAAAGTTTTCAGAGGTTGAAATATTTTTAAATAGGTTTTCAGTGTTAACTGAAGATCAACAATACACACTGGACTGCAAACTACAAGGTTAGCAGAGAAAGATGAGGATTTCTGCTTCCGTAAAGATTTAAAGCCTCAGAAAGCCTATACAGGGTTGCTATGAGTTAGAACCGCCTCCATGGCACTTGACAACAATGTATGGATATATAGTCTTTTGAAGGCGTTTAGTAGACTATCGACAACATAACAGATCATGAAGAAGCCGGAGGGTGAGGAAAGGAATTTTTGCGTGAATGAATATGTTTGTCTTCATTCATGAATGTGACACAATTGGCTCCCAGACACCAGACATCTGATAATTTTTATTAGTCCCAATGATGATTTGTCCTGGTCATCTACATTTCCATCCAGACACTTTATCAACTGGCTGACAGATGTCTGGGAACAGCATGATTTTGTCAGTAACTGAGACTCAATGGTTTTCGTGACCTGTGGTCTGACTGAGATAAATAGTCCAAGCAAGTCCACTTCCTTAAGAATCAAATGTGGAAATCTTCTGAGGGGAAGGTAAGGATATTATAGCTCAACCACTAGAGCTTGCTGAGAATCCTTGTCAACTACAGAAAATGTGAGGCATTTTAAGAAATTGAAAACTTAGCACCATCTTGTTGTTGTTGTTAAGTACCGTGGAGTCGGTTCCGACTCACAGTGACCCTGCACAGGGTTTCTGAGGCTGTAAATCTTTACGGGAGCAGAAAGCCTCATCTTTCTCCCGTGGAACTGCTGGTAGTTTCGAACTGCTGACCTTAAGGTTGGCAGCCCGACTTGTAACCACTACACCACCAGAGCTTCTTTAGCACCATCTTACTTACATTAATATATATTTTTTCTTTTAAAATATAATTTTTTAAACTTTTAATTGTGAATTCAGTAAAGGTTTTTATAGAACAGAACATCAGTCCCACATTCAACAAATTATACACTTCATGTCATTACGGTAATTGCAATCCACTCCATGTACCATCAGTTAACAGTATTTAGAACTGTAACTTGTGTGCAAATCTTGTTGTTAGACCTGTTTAAATGACCAGTATTTGCAAAAGGTCTTGCCATGAAGTGAGAGCTCCAAGGGCGGTGGAAAACTGTGGAGTCAATATATCAGGGTTCAGTCGCTACCTGCTACTTAGCAGATGTATCATATGGCAGTTTGGGATCTGTTGTTGTTGTTGTGAAGTGCCATAGAGTCAGTTCCAACCCATAGCAACCCTGTATAGGGTTTCCGAGGAGCAGTTGGTAAGCTTCAACTGCCGACCTTGCCGTTCAAATGACTTTGCAGTCTGGCGCATTAACCCACAGCGCCACACCAGGATCTGTAATATGAGTATTAAAATCATGTTATTGTTGTTGTGTACTGTTGATTGTGAATCATAGCAATGCTTTGTGACAGAGTAGAACTGCCTATAGGGTTTTCTAGACAGTAACCTTTATGGTTGAAGATCACCAAGTCTTTCTCCCACAGAGCCATTGAATGGGTTTGAACTGCCATCCATTCAGTTAGCAGCTGATTACTTGCCTCAAAAAGCTCATAGCCACCCTGTATAGGGGTTCCAAGGAGCAACTGGTGGATTTGAACTGCCTGCTTTACGGTTAGCAGCCCAGTGCTTATCCTACAGCACCATACCCTGAAAAGGAGCCCTGGTGTGGTGCTGTAGGATAAGCACTGGACTGCTAACCGGAAGCTTGTTGTTGTTAAGTGCCTTCAAGTCAACTCATAGCAACCCTGTACAGGGTTTCCAAGGAGCAGCTGGTGAGGTTGAACCTCTGACTTTGTGGTCCAAACTGACAGTGCCATTCAAACCCACCAGCCACTCTTGGAAACCCTATACAGGGTTGCTATGAGTTGTAATTGACTCCATAGCACACAACAACAACAACAACCCCCCAAAGGAGCCTTGGTGGCACTGTGGGTTAAGCATTGGACTGCTAACTGAAAGGTCAAACCCAGAAGCCTCTTCTCAGGAGGCTCTCTGTGCCCATATGATGCATAGTCTCAGAAACCCTATATAGAGTTGCTTTGACTTTGAACCAACTTGATAACTGTGGGTTTTACTTGGTTTTGGTTTTACCCAAAAGGATTACTATGAGGATTGAAAGAAAATACATAGAAGACACAAACAAAATTACCTAATTCCCTTTCCTCTTTAGCTTCTTTGCCTTTAGATCCATACTCCACACCAGTGTGAAAATGGCTTAGAAGGCATGATGATTGGCCATGGGCGTCAGCAAGTCCTATTTACACATTCCTTGAACAAACAGTGGCTATGAAACACTTTTGAACTCCAAAACAATAAGGATGAGAATAAACCCATTATTGTTATAATGTTCCTCCTTTGGCAGTTTGAAGTGATCTGGCAAATTTGGGAGCATCCAACTTTGAATTTCAATAGTGCAAACCAATTCAGTATAGACTAACCCTTCTCTGTTCTTAATCTTAATGTGAGTTTCTTATGAGCCTGGGTGTTAATGGCAGGGACTCTTATCAGGCCAAGGCTTACTCCAGTGACAAGGCAGTTCCTGCCTTGTGCTGATTACACATGGGCTTCACCTAGTTTCTGAAATCTGAGGCATCCCTCTTGATTGAATCATGAAATAAAAATGATTTGTCCTATGCTTAAACTGAGGTGGTAGAGAGCTCGGAGTTCTACATCACTGGTTATGTGCTGGGGCTTGGCAATCCTTTCATAGTCTTACAATAATTAGTGTCACTAGTGGAACTAAACATCCTGTATGGTGTTTGTCTTCATGAGTCATTTCTTTAGCTCTGTGCTAGCCCAGGTTAAGTGCTCACTGACAGCTGTAGGAGTCATTCCCACAGCACAAACCCACTACTTATTTACTTACAAGTCAGTTTCCACTTATAGAGACCCTGCATAGGTTTCCGAAGCTGTATATATCTTTGTTGTTGTTGTTGTTGTTGTGTGCCGTGGAGTTGGTTCCGACTCATAGCGACCCTGCACAGGGTTTCCGAGGCTGTAAATCTTTATGGGAGCAGACTGCCTCATCTTTCTCCTGTGGAACAGCTGGTAGTTTCAAACTGCTGACCTTGTGGTTCGCAGCCCGATTCGTAACCACTACGCTAAGCAGAAAACTTCATCTTTCTCCCGAGGAGTGGCTGGTGTGTTTGATCTGTTGACTTGTGATTAGCAGTCCAGTGCTTATCTTACAGTGCCACTAGAACACATGGAATCTAAATCAAATGAGACAGGAGCAGAAAACTGCCTTTGACATCATCTTCCTTGTCCTGCAGCTCCGGCGCTGACTGCCCCAAAGGGACCTTTCTGTCAATATTAAAAATTTTTGTAATCTGGCATATTGGAATAAAATGATGACTCTGCCACTTAATAAGGGTGCTACTTCTAGCAAGTTAATGAACCTCTGACAGTCTCAGATTTTTGCCCTGTAAAATGCGGATTGTTGTTATTAGGTGCCATTGAGTCAGTTCTGACTCATAGCAGCCATAGGTACAACAGAATGAAACATTGCCTGATACTGCACCATCTTCATAGTTGCTGCTATGTTTGACCCTATTATTGCAGTCACTGTATCAATTCATCTGGTTGAGGGTCTTTTTCTTTTTCTCTGATTACCGAATTCACAAGTCTATTGTGAGGATTTAGTTAGATAACACATATAAAGCGACTAATACATGCACTTGACATATCTTAGGTCCATAAGAAATGTTGATAGGTAGAAAAGATAAGTATACAAATAATGGCATAGAAATGATGAGATAAGATAGCATATGGCAGACAATGCAGGAGTGGTCATATAGAAGTTGATAGGAAAAGAGGGAGGAAAACTTATCTGAACAGTTGGCATTTGATCTGCTTCTGGAATAATCAGTAGACTTTGAATGGGTAGACATGGAGGAAGGCTGTTTTCCAGATAGAGGGAGGAACCTGAGGAAAAGGCCATAAGTGGAAAATTGCAAGT